GATTAGTTCGATAATGGTTAGACATTATGGCTTTTCGCTTTCAAAAATAATTTGCTTACTGTGCCCATATGGGCTCAAATTTTTTTTTAATTATACATTAGTTTACTCTTCCTGGTCAATGAATTAAATATACATTCACGACTAAAATTTACAATAAATCTAGCAGCACTTATACGCTAACAATTATTCGAATTACCATATGCATACACACTGACATTTATTAAGCCTAGCCTGGGTTATAAAAATTGTATACAAGCATAATGTATTCGACACAGGTTATGATGAATTTCACTGGCTAAATCTTTTTCTTCCTATAAAATTGTGATTTTGTATTTTATTTATGTACATGTACGTGCTGATTAGTTACTCGCCTCCTTTGAAAATAACCTATCTTGTCATATAGCTATTCATGGAAGATTAAATGGATCATCCTGCTCCAGCCTGCCTGGCTTCGTTCCTGCTCGCTTGCAACAAACACCTGCCTCTGGTCGAGGTAACATCGGGCGTAATACGCAACCTTTAGGTAACGATAGCTCGGTTTGTTCTCTTCTGTCAGATACCAGTTCTGGCCGGCCACCATCTTTACCATCCGGTTACTCGCCTGCTTTTCGTCCCGCCTGTCTCCTTCCACCACTGCACAAGCCTCCGCCTTCATGTATAGCTAATCTCCCTCTGCACTTATCTCAACCAATTACCGCTAGCTCCAAGGAGCAGCTCCCCTCTGATACCAAGGTCACATTGGAATCTCAATTAGCTTCAACGTCCGTCGCCCGATCAGGACCAAGATCTGAAAGCATTATTGAGAAGAGCGTCATAGAAGAATTGCGCCGATTGCGCTCTCAAGGTAAAATTTATCGAGTATGTGTTTATTTAATTATGCCGTTATTTCCCTCTGGAAGGACTTAGTTCTAAAAAATTAAGCCCTTTTCATGGATATAGCTGTTTGTTAATCGTAATGAATTCCGTGACTTTAGCTTAGCAAAATCTCTCTAGTCATAAAGCCTTGTTTGACTGAAACCATTACTCATGCTTGATGTTAGCGCACTTTTTATTTCGCTCTAAGAGGTGATTTGAAGTGATTCGTAACTTGGCCTTACCGGAAGCCGAATGAAAATTGCCTTAGAGATGTTGATTTGCGCCCCTTTACGCCACCTTGATGAGTCCGTGCCGAGCTTTCATATATTATGTCGTTAGAGCAAGAAACCATGCTTTACGATACTTCGTTAAGCGCGAAGATAAAAGTGGCCAGCTGAAAGCCTACTCCGTATAGCTCAACTTTCCACTTAATGAGGCGTTTCATGGTTTCTCTAAATGCTTGCCTAAGTTGGCTGAAGATGAAGCGCGAAGTGGATGCATTTGTGCTCAAGCATCTACATCCCTCTAAATCACTATAATTTTTTATCCTTTAACGTTGGCGCAATTAATTGCTTTCCATTGCATGTGTTTCGTGTGCATGCAAGGCTCGTGAGTCCCGTGAGTTGTGAAGATGCAAAGCAGATTTGAGGCAAATCAAGCCTCTTCCTCTTGCTCAGCGATACTTGTTCTCCCTCCTTACTGGTATCCAATAGTCACTAGTAGTTTTCTCCTGATCCCCTACTCAGAATGTGTGCCGTTTTGTTGATTTCCATAGACTTCCTCATCTTTCTTCCGCTGCTATAATCTTCTTTGTCTTTACATCAGACTTAATTAGTATTAATCTATCTGGTGTCGTGTGTGGACCATATGCCTTTTGGACCGGCAAACCTTTGCATATGCCAGCAGGTCTCCATATAGACGCTACCATATGGACACAAAACTATGTAACAGAAGAAAGGGTCCGAATATTACCGAAAGGATGACATTACCGTCGAGGACGACATTATGACCCTAGCTTTCTATCTTGCCCCAAATACATATTCCATTCCATCCTATTTGCCAATATTATAAATTAATTGTCAATCATTCCTTCCTCACCTTAAACCAAATAGGGAGAATACATA